TTGTGTTTCATAAGATACACAAATCCATATCTTGACATATCATCAGTGAAAGTGATGAAGTAAGAATATCCACCTCTAGCTTGAATATTCATGGGCCCACAAACATCTGTATGAATTAGTCCCAATAATTCAGTAGCTCTTTCTCCACTTCCAGTAAATGGAGATTTGGTCATTTTTCCTTTGAGACAAGATTCACAAGTTGGATATGATTCAAAATCATATTTGTCAAGGTACCCTTCCTTGTACAACTTGTTAATTCTTTTCTCTCCAATATGACCAAGCCTACAATGCCAAAGGTATCTATGATTTACTTGATCATTTCTTTTTCTCTTAAGACTTGAAACATGCATAATTGAATTAACATTCATATTAGGTAAGACATAAACATCATGTTGGAGATAGCCATTCACATATAAATTATCACCATAATAAATAGAGCAAATACCATTGCCTATATTTATGTGAAAACCACGTTTATCTAACATAGAAGCTGAAATTATGTTCGAAACAAATTTAGGAACGTAATAACAATCATCCAACATAAGTACTTTGCCCGTAGGCATTATTAAAGAAATTGATCCTACAGCTATGGCCGCAACTTTTGCACCATTTCTAACTTGTAGATTAATTTATCCTTTATTCAACCTTCTACTAATTTGGAACCCCTGCAACATATTGCAGATGTTATAACCACTGCCAGTATCTAATACCCACAATGAAACATCAGTAGTAGTTAAAGAAACTTTGAAATCATTTTTCAGTTGAGTCTTACCTTGTTTCTTATCATTTAGAGTTGCAAGATACTCCGGGCAGTTTCTCTTCCAATGTCCTATCTTCTTACAGTGGAAACACTCAGCGTCAGATTGGTCGGCTTTGCCTCTTTTGCCTTTGAGTTTGGTCACACCACCCTTAGGCGCAATAGGTTTCTTCTTGGGTTTAATTTTACTCTTACCCTTCTTCTTAGAAGAGTTTCCAACTAACATGACGGTTCCTTTCTTCTTCTTCTCAGATGCAAGTTGATTCTCATAATCAACCAGCATGTTGAGCATCTCATGAAGATCACAATCCATTTTATTCATATTGAAATTAATAACAAATTATGAAAAGAATTCTGATAGTGACTGCAAGATCAAATCTTGAGAAAGCTCTTTACCCAGTTTGCACCCCAACTTCTCAAGTTCTTCAATAGGATCAATCATACGATTGACATAGGGTCCAACTGGAGAGTTTCCAGTCAATTTGGATACAAATAAAGCCTTAGATAGTTGGTATCTAGCTGTCCTGCTTTGTGTACCAAACATCTTCTTAAGATGTTCAATGATTGCAGTTGGATCCATATCCTGATGTTTCCTCTGTAGTTCAGAATTCATAGAAGCGAGAATGATGCATTTGGTAGTAATACATTCTTCCAAGTATTTCTGATAAATCTTGGTGGCATCATCATCATTCTCATCTGGGACTTCCTTGGCAGGCTTATCGATCACATGAATAAGCTTTTCATGCATGAGAACAATTCTCAAATTTCTGTACCAATCATCAAAGTTTGGTCCTACCAACTTGTTGGTCTCAAGTATTCCACGTAGTGATATAGCAGACATATTGAGAAATCTAAAATATAGAAAAGAAAAGGCAATAATATAAGAACATATTTGCATATATCATAAAGACATGGACTTTTATCTATATGATATTTTCACTAATTATTTTAAACTATTTACCCTCATTATAGTTTACGAAATCTTTATTCTTGTTAGTGGAGTAAAGAAATCCTTTAACAATATGTATGAGCCCTTTGGAAGTCAAGTCGTTTCTCACATATATTTTAAAGGTAAGTACTCTTACCAATTGTATCCCTATACAACCTTCTTAAATAGCTCTATGTCAAATAGTCCCCTGGTAGTCAGGTCGATCCTATTGGCATAGTTGAGTTCAACCATCATGACAACAAAGAACTTATTAAATTTTATACTCCCCGGGTAGTCCAAGCTTCTAGTGTAAAATTGAATAATTCTTTCAATTCATACATCCAATGAAAATATATAATTTTAACATATTCTCGAACTATAAGTCTCCTGGTTGTCAGGCCGCTCCTTATAAACAAGAAGTAAGTAAAATTATTTACTTTGATGGATAGCTCTATAAAAAATATCTTATATTTTATTATTCAAGAACTCAAATTTTTAGTAAGAGGGAATTGTTACTAAAATAATTTTTAATAACATGAAAATCAAATCTTTTATAGCATGTGAATTTAGTTCAAGTTGTCTACATGCTTAGTCCTAAATTAATTTACATCACATGTAATAAATAATTTAAAATTATGTAATGAATAAGCACATGACATAAAAACGAAATTCAACATCCTCTAACATGTTTATCTTATATATATTACATAAAGAATTCATGCTAGAATATTGTTATTAATTAACATCTCATGAACTAATAACAATTAAAATAATCATAGAATCATGTAACCTATTATAAATTCCCATTGTATCTAATACAAAATTTCAAATGCAAGTTATGAACTATCTCAATAGTTATATGAATGCATAATTTATCCACAATAAAATAATAGCAACATTCAAACGATTTGACTATTGCACAAGACACAATAAACCACGGCTCTGATACCACTGTAGGATTGCATAGAGGTGTTCGTAACACGCAGCGGAAGACAATAACAATCCTAGGAAGATCTTTTCGTGTTTAAATTTATTTACATGTCAAAGATCAGATCTAAGACGTACCTGGTGAAGAGAGTCTCGTTTCAAAATTTCTTCGATAGTGCGAAGACTCTATGTGTATCCACACCGAGACTTTCTTTTAGGAATTTCTTATTCCAATTGGACTTTTCAATAATTTTATATTAAAAAAAACATAATCCATTCTCATAGGTAGGCCACGTTCAATGATTTTTATATTAAAAAATCATAATTCATTCTTATAGGTAGGCGGCGTATTGGACTTTGAAAATTTTGCTAATCCAATTCAAAATTGGATTAGTATTTTCTTGAATGCATCCTTTATGGACTTTTTCAATTTGCAAGATTTTCCTATTAAAGAAAATACAAATTCCATATCAAATGGGAATGCAATTTGTAATTTAATTTTCTATTCCAAATAAAAAACTTCAATTTGTTCATAATATTTATTATATCCTTTGTGCTAGCAAAAAATATAATAATATTTCTTTTGGACTAGTAACTAAATTTATTTGACTAATTAAATTCATTAATTTAATTATCAAATAATAAGTTAATTAATCCTTTAGCAAAGATCAGAACACTCATAAGTGTGCGACCCCATAGGTTCAATACTAAATCGGTAGTAAATTGATCACATCAATATACTAATCAAGGGTGGCGTCTAGCAATACTCCTTAACGACCGGATAGAATGAAGTATACAATTTACTCTCAAGAACCAGTGGAAGATTAATGTAGCAATTCCTTCTGTCCTTATAGCTCTGGATCACCCTAGGATATGGTTCAACTGTCAAATCCTAATATGCGACCAACTATGTGTTCATGTCAAATACAATCGACCATTGAATGACCTAAGAAACTCATTTCTTTTTTTCATTCAATTGCCCTAGTCAAGGTCTTAATTTGGTCGTTTATAATTCATGACAACACGGAGCTTAAACTCATTACCAAGAGTTGATAGATTCCGTCTTGATCCATCACTAATTCTACAAGTATTTAATCATGCCCAATATCCTTTCAACTATCGCCCTAGGGCCATAGGTGTCTGGTATCAAAACACAATAAATAACTTGTCAATTACTATGATGATCTCGGTCAAAAGAAACTTTTACATCATATTTTTCAAGAGAATATCCTATTGACAGTTTATGGTAATTCTAACCATTAGGAATTATCCAATGAGTCGGTTCAATAATCATATCTCTATATGCATCATCTATCTATGTGATTTAGTTAATGAGATCAACTAATCTTTATCCCATAAAGACGATCACATAAATATTGGTCTAACCGGATTACTAATGTCCAAGTTAATAATCCTACGATCAAGAACAAATTTAGATTAAATTGTAAGAGACTTTGCTCTCATTATCATGATCTCTATCACGATGAAAAATCTCAAAATTTAATCAAGGACCTTATCAAATTAATCAAACAATTAATAATAACTATGATAAAAGAATATCAGATGCCATACATTTTTATATCAAATAATGTTCACAAAAATATGTTCAAATCATCAAATATGATATTGGATCTAGGGCATATCTACTATATCCCTAACAATCACTGGTTATGTAAGATAATGTAACATTTCTCTAGCCAAATAAGAGAAGACCCTGGACTCTATATTGGCGTGATCCTGCAGTGTGAGGCTATTCTCAAGTGACGTATTCTGTGTTATTTTCACATCCATTGTCCCTGACGCCAATGCGAAGAAAGAAAAGTCATTGGTTTGAAGAAAAAGTTTTAAACACCAGTTTATTTGCCAGGATAAAGTGTGCGCCCGATCCATCAGCTGGTTCAAAGAGCCAACAATGCAGATTCTATATGCAGATATCTTATCATTCAACTAACCACGATTTTGAAAGCATCAGACGTCTCGTTAGGTGAGATAATCAGATCACTTGACTTCTGAGGCAACATCGACCCAAGAGAGATTTTAAAAGCAAGGTGGAAGTTGGAGGGAGGATGAGCAGAAGTGCACTAGAAATAGCAGCTGATAGAATAAGCAGAAGAACAAGGCCTTTGCACTCGCTACACACGGCTACGGAATACTTTTAGCAGGAAGCTAGGTTCGAGAAGAGTTATGATGTTATTTCCAAGAAGTGAAGAGGGATAAGCTGCAAGTTAAACAAGAGNGAGTACATACGAATTGCCCTGGGAGTTGATCATACAGAACAAGGTCTAGGTGAGAGGTTAGTCAGTTCCAAGGCCTGCCATCTTAGCTCAGCAGGGAAGTCAGCAACACAGCCAATTCTTGGTCCAGCACCTGTTGACCACGACACGGAAAGTTGATGCCCCAGGTGATACGACTTCGTGGACTTCTCGGAATGCATCCTTCGCAGTATTGCAGTCTTTGGCATATCTGCTATTGGGATCTGAAGACCACCTGAGAGCGATCGGTTATACTTACTCGTTTGAGCTACCAGATTTCCAGCTGATTCCAAGGGAAGGCTTTCTTCCTCTTCCTTTGGAAAATCAACTTGAGAAGCAGAATCTGATAGAGCTGAACATTCATATGCTGAGCCACTTTCAATAGACATCCCATCATCATAGCTTTCATAGGCTTCATTTGCCTTCCCTATCTGATGATAGATAAGAAATGAGATGGATTATAATAGTCTAAAAGTGAACAAGTTATCATGAAAAAAGACAAAGTAAAATCAAATGCAAAGTAGACAGTAAGGTAAGCAGACATAGACTAATTGAAATTTGATTAAGCAACACGTCTCTCAAATCAAAGGGGAATCTTGGCGTAATTGGTAAAGTTGCTGCTATGTCACCGGGAGGTCACGGGTTCAAGCCGCGGAAATAGCCGAAATGCAGGGTAAGACTGTATATAATAGACCCTTGTGGTCCGGCCCTTACCCGGACCCCACGCATAACGGGAGCTTAGTGCACCGGCTGCCCTTTTGTCTTTCAAATCAAAGAGAAATACGCAGAGGACAAAGAAGAAAAACAAAAGACTTACATTAGATTAGGGACTGGAACACAAGGAAAAGAAAAGAAGAACTAGCTAGGCTACAGCACGTCTGAAGAATAAAATAGCACAGAAGCACTTATATGTGATATTATTCAGTGCTAAAGAAGAGCAAGAGGGGGTTGAATCCTATCCTTAAGATCAACATTCCTTTTCCCCCCTTTTTATCTGTTTTTGGGCAAAGGAGAATAATCCCAGTGATCTGAAGCCTGGCTTCACTCCTAGATTAACTTTTCTATTTCATTGATACAGTCCTAAAATTAATTTCTTAATTACCAAAAATCTGATTGTTCAGGGCTCTGAAACATTAGGTACCAAAAGGAGTAAGTGACAATAGGCACAAAAAGCTTCACTAACCTCGACTTCATCCAGGTTGACCCCATTTTCATTGAGAAATGATAAAAAGCTATCAAGTCTATCTTCCGTTGGCCGATAATGTCCACTATATGCTGAAATAGACTGAAAAGAATAAAATGTTACGAATACAGCACAGTTCCAAGCAAATGATTGTAAAAAGCAACTTAGATTTCGCTTTGTAGTTGCATGCAGAGAATTCAGGTGACATTTCCTTTTTATTTCACACCATTCATTTTGCAAATAAAGCAGCTGAATACATTTATGTAATGGGTAAGACAAAAAGGTAAACAATTTTCTTCTTCTAAAGTTTCATCTCTATAAGCCAGGGTGTACTGTAAGATCATGAAAAGAATTTCCACAGAAGTCAAAAGGTAGTATCGTTGGGTATGGTGGTTTTATTCGTGATGAAAAATATTGATCAATTAGGATGATTTTAAAAACATCAGCCATTAATAACTGAATATTTTCACAGCCATAAGCAAGTATTTTCACGTTTGAGAAAGTATGAGTGGAGCATTTGGCAGTAGCCCGCTTAGATTGGTGACCTAGTCAGACAAAAAGTGTGACGAAAGGAAATGGAAACTACTTAATCAGTTTGATCTGAAAAATACGCCCTTAACTACTTCCACAAACAGTTGAGAGAGTAAAATTGAGATGATAGACACAATTGAGATAACAGAAAGTGATATACCATAACTCTTCCATCCTCTACCACTAGTCTTCCAGCCGCTGAAGTAGCCCCACCAGCAAGAAAGCTGGAATGATGAAACATTCCTTTCTTTTTCTGATAAACATTACAAAATCAAACTTTACTAAGAATAATAAGGATAATCATCAAAAAGCATTTATAGAGTAACTATTTTACCACTCACTTCACCAGCATAGAGTCTTTTTGACGTGGCCATCACAAAAATCCACTTTGCCCCTGGCAACCCTTTAGTAGTATCAAGAAGATTTCCAGTTTTTGCATGCACAATTCTCCCTTCAACAACGATATATTCATAATGTTCTCTTTCTTGCTGATTAAAGAAATATTAGGAGGAAACAATCAGTAACTGCACGCTAATACCAGGCAGTGCGACTAACGGATAATGCAGAAGTTAATAGCTTCACTTAGGGGACAAAAATGGGCTACTTGAACATGCAAAAGAACTATATTCATATCAGATAGTGTAAAATGGTGCTAATATCTATCATGAAGACTAAAGAGTAACAGAGTCCATACAAGTATTCAAGCCAGTTGTCTGTTATAACTAATGATTGACATTAGGATTTGTCATACTCAGAGCGTAAGTAACAAAAGATTCAACACATACAGGTCCAAGGTACTTGATACTTTGCTTCTGAAGCTTAGATCTCGGACATTCTTTGAGATCAACCTTTTTGCCATCTCCAAGATCCAACCTGCAGTTTTATTTCACAAACTTCTTAGTAACCTTACATAACATCCATTAGGAGTCGTACATCTTATAAATAGCTTCACAGAAAAATACATGTTGTCTAATCCATATGGCAAAGAAACTGCACCGGATAATAGAGAAGCCAATAATGCAGAATGTTCTTGAACTTCGTATTAATGTAAAATAAGAAGATTTCACCAAGGTATAGCAAAAGAATTCTCCAATTTCCTTTAAAACTTAAAACTTTACGGTATTTCCTCTTGGTTTAGAAGCATTAGCTAATCTTGGAACAGATTTGCACTTATTTTGATTTTATCAAATCGCTATGAATGGAAATCAAAAAAACAGTTTTGATTCTGGCATTTGTTTCAAATGCAAAAACTAAAAGAATTTCGAGTTAAAATATCAAGTGAATATGTGTCTAAATTCATATGTCTAGATAATTGTACTTGAATAAGTGAACTTATGGGTTGTTGTATCCTTATATTGTGTTAGACAATTCTCATCCCTGAGCTAACTTTTGGAGTTAAGTTAGGCCGAAGGTCCATTTTATTAATATTTCGGGAGAACTTTTTCGACCATACACAATTAGAGAAAAGCTTTTTCACTTATTACCAAAAAAGTTAAAAAACGAAAAGCTTTTCTCTAACAATATATGGTTAAATAATAGGAAAATTCTTAAACAATGATTTTTTCCCGGAGAATAGACAATGTCAAAATTCTTACCAAAAGAAGAAGGGCTGACCAGAGTCAGTTTTACACCATTCTTCATAATAAATATGCAAGTTATGCCCATAACGATGGCGTGGGTCAATCTATAGTGCAACAATACCAACGTCAAAAAAGGAAAATTACAAAAATTAACAAATTAAATTGGGAAAATGGAAGCCAGAAAGGTACAGTGACTCACTGCTTCAATCCAGTGTTGAAATGCCAATTTCTGAGCTTTGGCATCTTTTGACAGACCCTTACCAACCTGAACAATACGTAAATCCAATTAAAGTTTTCACTTCTTCTTCTTCAGAAACTGCCTGAAGTTGTTAGATTACCGAAACAAAATATGATCGGAAATAAAGATGTAGTAACAATTAAAAATACCTTGGAAGCATTTAAGCTTATGCGATTCCACCGGGAAGATGCCGTTTCTGGTTTCAAGAAATTGAAGAAAGAAATTGTACTGTGATTCAATCGAGCATAATCTATGGCTTGCCACCTTCAAGTTCATCACATAATAACAGAGTAAAGAACACAAATTAATATTCTATGATTACTCCTTTTTAGAGTGCTGTTGAAATAATTACTACCCTCCCTTTCAGAGTAGACAGAGTTAATAATAGACGACAACAATTACTATGCCTCATCAAGTTCATCACAGAATAACACAGTAAAGAACACAAATTAATATACATGATTACTCCTGTTAGAGTGCTATTGAAAATCTGAAATAATTACTATCATCCCTTTCAGTGTAAGACAGAGCATAATAATAGATGACGACGACAATTAATATGTCTTATCAGGCTCATCACAGAATAACACAGTAAACGACACATGATTAATCCTTTTAGAGTGTTATTGAAATACATTTTTATTTTCAATTTTGATGATCTTGGAGTCCGAGTTAGCTTGTGCACACTTCAATTATTCCATCGAGTACTTGCTACCTTCCACCAGCATAGATGCCGGCAGAGGCAGAGCCATAATTTGAAGCTAAGAGATTTGGAATTCTAGTCTTTTTAAGTTATTAGGTTCTAACTTAATAATTTGTGCATTTTTAATGGATTTTATTAGATAAAGGGTATGGACCAAAGTTACTAGTTCAGTCGAACCCGCGGCATGCTAGCGATCCAAGGCTTAGGCAGATATAGAGACAACATCTATTACGCCTCAATCACAAGCAAGTTGACATTAAAATCTAGACCATATGCTCCCTTAAGTAATAAAGCTCATCTCAAACTGATCCACTTACATAAAATAAAATGAACAAATAATAGACGAAATACAGAAGACATTGTTATAATAGACGAAAATTTATAAAAAATCGTGTACAGGTTAATCGTTATTGAGCAATACCAGAGTACTTCAGCAACGACGGCAGAGTCCGCTAACATGCGCCGCGTGCGGTAACTCCTGTAAACCTTCTGCACTTTCATGGCAGCATTTGAAACAGACCGCTCGCAATATTCCCCGTCATTGGAAGAAGCGGACATGTCGGAGCTCAAAATATCGGTAGCACGGAGCTCCGATTGTTCTATATAGGAGTTGTACGGAGGCTGAGAGTTGAAATCAAAAGCAGAAAGAGCGTGAGTTTTCACTTCCATTAAACAACAAAGATTGAGACTGAACAGGAGAATTACAAGTGTAGCTATAAGAAGATTGCTAGAGAGAGAGAGTCTAGAGAGAGGAGAAGTATTATTCAGTATTCAGACAGTTCCCATTAATGCACATACTATACGTGGTTATCGATGGGATTTTGCTGGTCAGTCCACCTGTCAGTGCTGTCACACCTTTGGGGGGAAAACAATATTTAGTCAACTCCACGCACTGTTGGTGGGCTAACAGCTTGTTTGGAGGGACGTAACACAATGTATTTTGTCCTATTGTTACTTTAAATATAATGTTTGTTTTAATTGTCACTTAAATTTTATTGTATCGTATCGTTAAATTCATCGTTATCTAACGACGAAAAGTATCACCTCATGGAATGACCGATTTGGTCCGGTTGCGTTATTCTCTTATTTTTTCCTCTCATCTTACCCTTACATGTTATTAAATAATCCTATTTTATCCTTTATCTTACCTTTTTATATAATAATTATATTTCGTACCTTGCAAGTTTATTCTTGATATTGCTGGTCATGACATCATGAAACGACGAAAAATAATACAATACATCCAAATATTGTATACATCAAATTAATGACACAATACAACACAATACAATACTATACATTATAAAATGATACATAACAATCATCCAAACAAACTGTAAATAAAATTGAGGATGAAAGTGTTTTTTCTTTTTTCTTTTTTCGGGTTAATAACTCGTTTGGTTGGTGAAATAAGGTATAACAATCTCGGGATAAAACAGAGGTATATTGATTATGGGTATTTATTAGTTTTTTTTATGCTATTTTGTACTAAAATGGTAGATTAGTTATCCTATATGGAAGGTGGGATATCTAACTTATATGATGTTCCAACCAAACGGCCATTTAAACCCTAACTTTCGTCCTTGTAATATTTGATCGATCGCATTTGACCTTTGAAAAATGCATTTTTATCCATTTTCTTGTGAATATTCAAGAATTTACCATAATTATTAAATGTTTCACCACTTAATTACTCGTTTGTTATGTTAAGTTTGTAGTATCACTTCATATTTGACGGTTATATAATTTTAAAAATAGTTCAAATATAGCACATTTTCTTTATATATGGACCAAAAATATACAGTTTAATTAGGTTAAATGATAAATTTGTTAGAGTCATATATCAAAAGAACAAAAATCAAAATTGACCAATAACTAATGAACCAAGAGCACTATCATTCCTTTTTTATTTCTTTTGTATGGTTTTGATAAATGATGGAAAGTGTATGTTTTTAGTATGTTTACATACTATTTTTTGTGTGAGTTACGAAAAGTTACATGATTTTTAAATTGAATTATGTTCATTATGTATTTTTATGTGTATGAACGAGTTCGGATGAAAGTAGAGTAAAAGAAGAAGAATTATTGCAAAACAGAAGTAAGGGAGCAAAATTGGGAGCTCGACCATGCTCATGCGTCGCGCGAGGGCAGACATGCCAGATGAGGCAGCAGCGATGCAAAACAGTGAAGTATGACAAAGGCGCAAATTGCTTCGTAGAGAAAAACTAAAAGAGCTGGGAGCTCGTATGTGGTCGCGCGCTGCACGAAAGTTGACGCGCCCTCCAGTTCTCTTTTTGTCTGATTTTGGATTGCATTGGACAACCTTCCACCCTACTTAAGTCATATAAATACACTATAAATATACTTTTTACATAACTTTGGAGGAGGAGACACTACTTTAGGGGTTACACAACACCTTTGGAGGCAAGAATACACTATAAGCAAAGAGGAAGATTCAACCACAAGTTTTTCCTTTCTTCTTCCTATTTTTATTGTTGGTTATGAATTTTAGTGTTGTATTTGCACATACTACTGTGAGTAGCTAATTTATTATTTAGAGTTTTGATAAACCTTTTGGAGAATGAATTCTTGTTAAGTTTGAATATAATTTAGCCTTTGAATTTCTTTACTTGTTCAACTACGTGCTTATTTCTTTTGATTGAATGACCATCAATTGAATGTGCATATTTATTATGTATTTCTTGGGAAATGGTGCATATCTAGGTAGTTGTTGAACAACGTCACTCCTAACGTATATGAGGAATCAATACGGCAGGTGTAAATGTGAGTTTAGGAATAACAAAGTCTTGACGTGGTCATAGGGAGCGGTAAGATTGTGCCAGCTAGCGTAGTTCGGGATAATATGTCTAGTAAATTGCTGTAGTTGCTCGGGAGAGAATTACACACCTGAAATATTCACGATCATTAGAGAATAATTAGGCGAAATTATAGGAGACGTAGCGAAAAGGATTCCAACGATTGGGAAAATCATAACTCTACCTCCTTAATCTTGTCTCCAACTCTTAGTATCTTTAATTGTTAATTTACTATTTTAATTTGTTAGTTAATTAGTTAGACACAAGATTCTTAATATTTATAACTTAGGAATTGTTCAAGCTTATCTTCTTGGTGATAGTGAACAGTTGTAACTAAACCTTAGTTTTCTGTGGGATTCGACCACGGACTCTTAGACCGGATTATATTTACAGTGACCGCTTATTCTTTTTAAGACTAGAGTTGGGCGTGACCAGGTTTTAAATGTAGAATTCACTAGTCTGGTAAATTTATTTGTAAGATATAACGATTACAAGAGGGGAAGTGTTTTTTATCAAGAAATTCTTTTCAGAAATCAATCTAAAATTGTAATGAAGGATAAAGAAATCCTCTTTATTCTGATACACTCTTTGACGGCAGTTATAACATAGGCTAGGGGTGTACATGGACCGGGTTGGTTCGGTTTTTATCAAAATCGAACCAAACCAACTATATCGGTTTGGATTGGTTCGGTTTTGTCGGGTTTTTCATGTTTTCGGATTTTTTTGTTACATGAATATTATTTCAATCTTACTTTATTAAAATTATAGATAAGGCTTTGATAAGTGAATATATGTTTAGTAAATATGAAAAAAAATTGACAAACATATGATCTATTAATATATTCTAATGGGAGAATTTTTTTAGTAACACATGATAGTTATTTTCTTAGTCGTCTAATAATAATTTTTCGTTAATTTACGCTTTCAAGGTTAATACATGAGAGGATCCCAAATATTTCTACATTTTCTAAAGAAAATTCACTATAAAGTCTTAAAAATATAAATAAAATTTATATATTTATATGACGGTTTGGTTCGGGTTTTTTTACTCAATACCAAACCAAGTTAAATCAAACCTAGTCGGATTTTTAATCGATTTGGTTTGATTTTTTAATTTGGTGCGATTTTTCGGTTCGATTTGAACACCCCAACATAGGCCATAAAGGACAAGAAAACTTAAAATAAACAGTTGAAACAATGAGAGATCATTGAATTCAAGGTTTATGAGATTTAAATTCGAAAAGTGACTGCTGAACTATCCAGCATGATTTAATAATTGGTCTCATTTTTCTTCTCCTACCCATACTAAGTTAGGTCCCGAAATCTATGAATAGGCCATGAATGTGCTTTTAATATGCTAGTTACTAAACTACTAATAATAGTAGGATTTAGATGAGGAGGAAAGGTAGTTGCATGTGACAGGTGGTTAGCTAGGTTCAGCGGGCACGTTATCATATTAAAGAGAAAAATAAACATTACAAAAAAAAAAATGGAATTAACTACAAACTTGATCACTAATTTATCACTAAATTGCTCGTAGCTAACAAATATTTTTAATATTTATCGCTAGTGGCGGAGCCAGAATTTTTACTAAGGGAAGTCAAAATATAAATAAGCAAGAATATGAAGAAATTAAGGGAAGTCAACAGGTAGTATATATACATAAAAATAAAATATTTAACCTATCTATACGGTAAAATTTCCGGACGAAGGGGTGTCAATTGACTCCCCTTGCCAATGAGTGGCTCCGCCACTGTCTATCGCTAATATGTCGCTCAAGAGGATTAATTTATTTTTTAGCTATAAAATTTGTCTGTTGCTAATTCGTATTTTTTAATAGTGAAAAATATTGGATAAGGTGTGAAGTGACTCAATTTTTCTCTTGTGGAGCTATTATTTACATGGTCGATTTACGTAAGTATTCCCTTTTAGGTTATTGTTAAGATTTAGTTTCTATTTTAAGAAATCGTACAAATATAGTCATTTAAAAACTACTCCTTTCAGACAACTTTAGACTCAGGTGTAATGTCTCAAATAATTAAGTTTAATTAGAAAATATTAAACTATGGTCTAATATTTGCAATAACTTATAACATTTTAGATCATGGTCAAACGCTTTCTGATAATATTTTCAGTTTGCTCAAAAAAGAACTTTAGGCCATGGTCTTAAGATACATAAGTTGCAAGAGAAATAAAAAGAGATTCATTTACTGAAGGAGTTTTGACACAGTTACCCACAAAAATAAAATTATTTAATCTTTGTCTATCCATTTATTTTTCTATTCATAAACTAATTATATTTCCTACCCATAGTAGTTTTGTGAGGATTTTTTTTTATTCTCCAATTCTTTTTTATTTCTATGCTTCTTCTTTTTTTCCTTTTCTTTTTTCTCGTTTTCTTCTCTCTTTTTCTTTTTTCCATTTCTAATTTCTTTTAACTTCTTCTTTTTATATTCTATTTCTATCCATAATCTAATTTCATTTACTGTTTTCACTATTTTTTATTATTCTTTTTTTTTTTAATATTATTACTAAAGAAAAATCAAATTATGTACCAATTAAATGTAGCTAATACAACCAAAAAATATTAACTAACATATGATACCAGTATAGTATATAGCTATACCAACAAGGTATACAATTGTACGCAAAGAGTTAAAAAAAAAGTTTAATTCAATTATTAAACTGAAATAATATCACTTGTCAATAAAAATTTCAAAAAATTCTAAAAGGATCTAATTGTAAGAGTATACCGTTACATTTTATAGCATACTATAATTTTTTTTGGCATTTTTAATTTGGCCCTCACGCTGGGTAAAAGCCTAAAGCAAATTAAAAGGGAAAAGGCAAGTGAATTTACGGGCAATAGGTATATTAATATAGTATATTGTATACTATTACAACA